TCTATACATAGTCTTTACTTGATATTAAAAGCAATGATAAGAATCAGAAAAAAATTGTGTAACTGCTTAAAAGTTTTTCTAAAGAATAGACAATTTAATTTTAAAGTAATAAAGAGTAATGCTAGCAGCAATGTCAAAACGCAAGCTATAATTTTCACCCCAGAAATAAGTGGATGACATCCCCACATCTTAAGAAATCAAAAGAGAAGTCAGCATTTCTCTCCCATTTAATTCTCCTTAACACACTTAAATCACTGGCGTTACCATCATAATTGTCAGCATGCTGGTTGATCATCAGTACCTTTTTCTGAAGTGCAAATTATCTGAGTTTTATTCCTATTGTTTTGCAGCCAGTGGAGTTGAGCTTGAAACCAAAAAGATACTTGATGAAGAAGTAGTATTTAGAAACGCCCATCTGGAACATCATTTTCGTTCTGTAAGGCATTATTTGAGGCCCCTTTTGATATGAGTACTCATGTTTTAGTTACTTTACATTTGGAAAACAATTTTCTTTCATAGCTAAGGTGGGCAATCCTCCAGGCAGAGTTAATCCAATTGCTTTACATGCAAGTGTCCAGGAAGAGTAATTACCATATGTTTAATTTCTCCATTTCTCCAAGTTTCCGGATGGAGCTGTCTTGAGTTTTAAGCTAGCAAGACGTTCTGACTCCTTTCCTGTCTCGGCTGTTAACCATATCCCTAATAATGCTCACTGGTGTTGTACCTCTTTCATAAGCTCATAATCAAGCTTTTCCAGAAAGAAAGGAGAAATGAAGCCTTTACATCTTTATCCTGTGGGTTACAGTCTTCATGGAGCAGACCATGACTATATAGTGGTGTGCCCATAGTAGATGCACTTGCTGGTATAACTGCCTCTTTTTGGCACATTATTGCTTGGCTTTAATTTCATATTCAACAGTCTTTATTCTCATGATTAGTTTCTGAAATATCTGGAACTTAAAACACACACACACCAAACTTGTAAATAACATCTTGTTGCACCATTCTGGCCTCCACAGTCATTTCACCAAGGCCCATGGTTATTTAAATGTCCTTTAAAATGATCATCACCTTGATTACCTAAGAGCCAACAGTAATTTCTTAGGCTATTTTGTTATTTCTATCTACACATATATACCGATGTATTGGATTTACTTAGAGAGGTTTTTTGGTTGTGGCAAGTGAGTAGGTTAGCTGGTGAGTGTTCACAGTTAAAAGTAGTTGTCATGACCTCTGGTTACTTGCGAGACAGAATTTTCCCACCTTCATCCACTTCATCTAGGTCCTTGGTCATTGCAAATCAAGTTTATTTGATTTCTGTAGCCAAGGAGAGTTTTTTCCCCAAGACTAGAATAAAGTTCATGAAAATCTATTTCAATATTTACAAGACTGTTTTTTCCTTTTTTGCAAAAATGTCTAAAATTTTGTAGCCATCCTAAGTCCACGCGTCTGCACAAATGACATTTATAATTACTCGGCCAGTTGCAGAATTTCATTAGGAAGGAGGGACAGGAGCTTCTGCATATCACTTGTCATTTGCCAAGTGGCAGCAGCTGACCAGGATTTGGAGAGATTCAACCAAAAGGGCTTCACACAAGGAACATTGCTAACAGGAAACAAACGCTCAGATATGAATATAAAATAGTAAATACCAAAGCAAACGTGGACAAGATTTCTGATTTACTGTATAGAAAAAACAGGGATGGGGACAAGATGATCAACTCATTCATCAAGATACTGCTGAGTTCACTGTATAATTATCACAAAGGGGAATTCACAGGCCTCATTTCTCAAACACCATTTAGGACAAAGCAGGAGAGAATAAACAGCATCATCTCCATGGCGGCATTGTAGATGATTGGTAAATTAGACAGGTAGAGGCCTACAAAAGTCTACAAGTACCTAATTTTCAGTAAAAACACATGTACATATATGCAAACCTTATTCTAATGCACTGTTTTTATGTTGATTCTTAAAAAGTGGACAAGGGATGTAGTGAGTAATATGGTACTAGAAGTGGACAAATCTTTTAACACGTGTACAATATGTTGGAGGAACATTTTCACATTTAGCCAGTAAATCAGAGCAGATACAGAAAAGGCCAAATAATTTACATTAATAGCATACTTATATAGATCCCCTGCAAACACATTTTAAAGTCATGTCATAGTATATTTTTCACGGGTATATACAGGTATTCCAGGATGATAGGAACTTCTTTCTGGCTTTCTATTTTAAGATGACAAGCTCAATTCTATTAATATTCAGTTTTAAAATTCAAGCTCCAGGTTATATGTTATACATGCATATTCAGTCAAATTCATTTAAATTTCGATATTTAACCTATAGCGTGGAGAACACTGGTATCCAAAATGACTATCAGATAATTCTAAAGATTAAAAAAACCCATAAAAAATCAAATGATATTCAATATGTCTGAACTTTCTACGGTAAGAAGTCATACTCATATAGGGTATAAAATATATCATTTTGGATGCAAACAAAAAGGTTTTTGGTTAGCTTTAACCTAATAAAATGTTCAACTCATGCCACAGATCCAAAACACACAGAGGTTGATTACAAACTTACTATATGTGAAGTAGTTGGTCTGTGCATTAAAACCAATAATCAAGAAAGACAAAATTAGAAAAGCACTAAAGATAAACATGACAGTTGAAGGGATGACATTTTCTTGTCATCCTAAAAATAGGAAAATCATGATTTAAATTAAAAAATCTATTATTTACTGGGTAGGCTGCATGGTCTCTTAACATTTTAAATGTTTCATTATCTTACAGACTCTGTGTTCTAACTCATTTTTCTTTTACTATTGGTTCAAGAAATATTTTATATTTATTTACTTAATAACACACTTCCTTCATTTATTTCAACAATTAAAATGCATTAAGAAGAATCAAACCATAACCAAAGAAATTAAGGACAAAAACAAACAACTTTCAACCCAATGTGTGTCCTGTGGGCAAGGAATAGCTAAACAAATTCAAAGAGTCTGCCATTAAAGTTGTTTTGCAACCCCATTTATTGAGTGAACCTAAGGAGTCATGAATGACATAGTGAATGTTTATGCTGTGTCACAGACCAAAGTGAAGGCAAAATTTCAAATCAAGGTTTTATTGTGAGAGTATGTAGGGTATCATAATGTAAAAACATGGTTGTCTTGAACAGGCTCCTATCTTATTTATCCATTTGATGATCTATTTCTGTTGCTATTCTTTTAAAAAAATTATATATATTTTCTGATTTCAGAGAAGAGGGAGAGGGAGAGAGACATAGAAACATCAATGATGAGAGAGAATCATTGATTGGCTGCCTCTTGCATGCCCCTCACTGGGGATCAAGTCTGCATCCTGGGCATATGCCCTGTCCGGGAATCAAACTGTGACCTCCTGGTTCCTACATTGATGCTCAACCACTGAGCCACGCTGGTCGGGCTCTGTTACTGTTTTTAAAAGCTGTTCCTTCTATACGATTCAATAAACAACAAAACAAGAAAGCTTTTGAAATATTTTCTGACAATTTCTACAGTATGGCAGCAGTAAAGATAAATAATAAAGAATTAAAGATTAAGAAGTCAGGGTTGGTGCCAGCACCAAAGAAAACCAGTTAAAGTTACTATCTCAAACATTAAGTTTTACTGAAAGGCACAACTATACCAAGTTCAGTTTTAATTAATTTAATTTTAAATTTATTTAATGTGCAACAAATGCCTACAACTCTTTGAGGCCTCTGCCTCATTTAACTATTTATAAATCATGTGGTTACTCCAAACGCATGAAAATAAATATTATTACCAGATGCTGAATTCTTCCTTTTCTCCTCTGTTAATGCAGGAACAGCCTGTTCTAGCCACTTCGCACAGAGGATTACCTGGGGCCCACCCAGCTGCAGTGGGTGCTGTTGACAGCTGCCATTGTGTACACAGGGTGTTCTCTGTGTGTACACAGCACGTGTCCATGTGAGGGAGACAACAACATGAGTGGGAGACAGGAGTGAGATTACATCCCAGAAAAGGCATCTCTGACAGAAGTGACATGAACATTACAACAAATGGATATTTAAGGCCAAAAGAGAGTTTTAGACCAAATCTCTCTAATCATTAAATAATAATGTGATTGTTAATTTGATAGTAATTTCTACTTTAGACAGCATTCTCAATAGAGGCCAACTGTTAAGAAACTAAAAATTGTATCATGAAAAAATTCCTTAAAAATTCCAAATACAACCACTGTTAAGTACCATGCTCAGGCTCTGAGAATGCTGTGACTGTGGTCTCCTATGCAGGCCTTGTATACAGTCCAATTGATTTGAAAGAAATCAATGGCTATTACTAATTTAGGTTGTGTCCAGTGTAGCTTCTGTTAAAGTTCAAGTATGGTTTCCTCCAATATGTTCAGCATCTGCCAAAAAGAATTAAAAAAAAAAAAAGCCCACACAGGGACTTTGAGTTCATGCAAAAATGCTATTTATGAGTCTCCGGAGAGAGAATACATGGCCATCTGTCTCATCTAGGAGAGTGAGTTTAGTGAAGGCAAGCAGTGCCGCTTCAACAGTAAAAGCCTCTCTTTTCTTAGGGTTTGAAGAATGAGATATGACGGTATTTCTCTTAAAATCAACATTTGCAGAGGTTACCTTATTGCTATAGATTAGAAACGTAAGCAATTACATATTAGTCTACACCCAAAAACTGTAAGGAAGCTGGTGTTCTATTTGCTGTTGACTGCATTTCCTATTAGAAGTTACTGAACCAGATCAAAGAGCAATTACATGATATTAGTCTACACCCAAAAACGGTAAGGAAGCTGGTGTTCTATTTGCTGTTGACTACATTTCCTATTAGAAGTTACTGAACCAGATCAAAAGAAACACACAAACAGCCTCCTGTTCAGTGGAGTCTAAATTAAACCCATTGTTTTTGTTACTCAAGAAATTTTCCTTTTTTTTTTTCAACACAGAGAGAAGAGTGTTTGTTTGTTGAACCTTAACATTTCAGTAGAATGCTTTTGGAGAACACCCGTACAACATAAAATTTAATATTATCAATAACTTGATGACTTTTTTCAAGAATTCAGCCACATGTACTTTCTCTGGGGTAAGGAAATGGGAATTTAATCTAGTCTGAATCACAGAGATGCATCTTGCCTTTGGTGCTGGAAAATCTATATATATAAATTCATGTATTATGTGGGCAGTATTCATATTCGAAAGCATAGCTAATTTCCCTCCTATAACTTTCTTAAATTTATGAAGAGGTATAACAAGGTTTACAAAAATGGTTATCTGTAGACGTTTACAAATATTAATTCATATTTGGCATCGTATGCATTTAAATGCTTTTACTTCATGTCCTCTGGCCTAGGAATGAGTCAAATTTGTTTTACCTTTTTTCCATTATAGTTCTTATCAGCTACTTAAATTTTGCATGGTAACAGTATTCTTGTTGCAACAGGACTAGAAAGTGTAACGGTGGTTTTGCTAATAGTGTTTCTGGTATTTTTAACACAAAGCCGGGGTTTTAATGGAAATACCATAGTGCGTTCAATTGAGACAGTGGCACAAAATGACACACATATCATAACAATTCTGGCTCTCTAAGCAACAACCTATGAAAAAAACCCCAGTGAATCTTATTTCCTCTTGATTGAGGTGGAGAACTTTCAGGGAAGCTTGCTTTTCTCTCGTTCCTTCTTGCAGAGTGAAATGTCTTCGTTTCCCTTGTGTGACCCGAACTGAAAAGATATTTTAATTTATGGGGCTCCAGTCAAAGGACCCAGCAATTCTTAGTAGCAATTTCCTGTAGTTAATACTCAGCTTTCTCTTCTTGGTCTCTGGGGGCTGGGGGCGGGAGGAAACCGAGCAAGCTCTGACCTGGACCGACCCGTAGGAAGACCCTCAAGGTGTACCAAGGGTCCCACACATGCTCCCCGTCAATCTAACACCGAGGACGGGGCAGGGCGGACGCAGCAGTTGGGGCGCCGGAAGTTCTGCAGCATGGACTGGAACACGCCGTGCTGCCTGCCTTTGAGTTTCTTATTCGAAGACGTATCCGAGGAAATGGACCGCCGGGCCTGGCTGCTTTGCGCTTTGATGGATTTCTCGTGCTCCCGGATCTGTCTCTGTAAATGGTTCTGGATGGCGACGCCCAGCGACTCGGGGTCCAGGGAAGCGCCGTACACCTCCCAGGTCATGCCCTGCTCGTCCCACACCACGTCCCTGACCCGCTTGGACTGTTTCAAGGGCAGCTTGGAGTCGGCGCCAAGCTGCTTCTTCTTCTCTCCCGGGGTGAGCCCCACCTGGGCGGCCGCTGTCACGTTGAGCTCCTTGAGGAACTCGCTGACCCGGCTGGCCCGGCGCGGGCTGGCCTTGACCGAGCGAGAAGGGGTCTTCTTGCCCGAACTAGGACTGGAGTCACCCATGGGTTCGGACGGCAGGCTCAGGCTGGTGGCTGGTTTGGCCGGCCTGTGTTCCTCCACGGTGCCCTCCTGGTTATTTCTAACGGGGGAGGGTGTGGGACTGGCAGCTGACCCCGAGCCTCCACTCTCTTGAGCTTTAGGATTGAGCAGTACGCTTTTGCCCTCTGCCCTGGCTTTCCCATCCAGGAGATTCGTGCCTTTCAATTCTTGTTCTTTTCCTACCGGAAGCGATGCGGGCTTCTTCTCTCTTGCATCACCTTTATCCGTGGGGTCCGAGCCCCCGAGCTGGTCAGCTTTGCTGGCAGGCCCACAGGAGGCGGAGAGTTTGCAATCAGGGTCTGTTTTGTGGCCACCTGTGGTTTTCACTGCAAGCTCAGATGGCTTGGTTCCAAATGTCCCCAACCCGTGACTGGTTTCATCTTGACTTCCTGCACTAATGGAAATCTGGTCAGTGAGGCTAGCTTTCAGGGAGCTAGAATTAGCAGAAAGCTGTTTAGAAGTGGGCTCTGCCCTCCCTGGGGTCATTCCAGCTGACCTCCCATCATCTGTATGTTTATCCTGGGCATTGCTGGATGCCTCATTGATGGATGAGGTATTGGGGACCTCCCCTGGCAGGCTCACCCATCTCCTATCTCCTTGGAGAGCTGTGGAGACAGCTGCAGCTGCCTGGCTGTGCACCTCTGGCGTGATGCCAGGGCACCGCCCCGACTCCTGGGGGGATAGCTTGTTGACTGACAGCTCCAACACCTGGCTCCCACTGCCGTGGCAAACCACACGTAGCTGCTCTTGTTCCAAACGCTCAGGAGCGGGGCTTTCCTTTAAGAACGCAGTGAGGATGCTGGGGCTGGTGGAGACGGATCTGCTCTCGACACTGGCCACGGCCTGCACCTCCGCATCTTGCTGAGCCCTGCTGGGAACTTCCTTGATCTCATTTTCAGCCTGATTGGTCATTGTACTGGCTTCTTTGAACCTGGACGCCTGGTGCTGTGCTGCTGGCAGCGTCTTCTCTGGCTCTGGAGGAAACGTCGAACCTTTGCTGGAGAGGTGGGATGGTTGAGGTGTCCCAGGACTCACCGCCTGGGTGTCAGCGGTGGTGGCAGAGGGCTGTGTGTTCCCTGAACACCCGTCTTCTCCGGCTGGAGAGTCACAGGCCCTGGTCTTGGCGTCGGACATGGCTCCCTGCCTGTCCCCTTCAGGCCCGCCTGCAGGAGGGGTGGCATGACTGAGCATCCTGGGGGCTGTGTTTGCAGTCTGCACCACTCCCGGGATTGTGTCTTGAGAGGGAAAATCACAGGGCACTTGATCTTGGCTGCTGCTACAAGTGCCTCCCACAGGACAACTCGGTGTCTTAGATTGCTCTCCATCTGAGGTTCTCTCTGATTTCCCCAGTGTCTCTTCAGATGCCGAGGAGGCGCTGGCGTTGGGCTGGCCCCCTGGGATGGCCTGGTGGTTGTGCTGACTGGCTGGCATGGTACACGCTGTGTGTATAAGATCCTCCACTGCTGCAGAACACGGGGTTGGTGCTGTGGGCTTGCTGTTTCCTGGCCGCTGGGTATTGCCAGGGGAGTTGAGTGTGGGAGATGCTTTCTCCACCTCATTGAAGATGCCAGGAGAAGACATGTCTGGCCGCGCGGCCTCATGCTCACAGGCCTGCATCAGGGCCTCCGAAGCTGCCCGGGGGCTGAGGGCTGGTTCCCGAGGCTTGCTGGAAAGGCCATCGATGTTCTTACACAGGAGGGCTGGTTGAGGCGGAGGTGAGGCCGCCTGTACCTCTCCTAGGTCCTCTTCTTTTCCGGTAGCTGTGATCAGGGAAGTGTTAGCTAATATTAGAGGGTCAGGTACAGTCCCCATGGAATTTCTCTTCAGGAAAACCTCAGAGCTCTCCCCTGAGCAGTGCTCCCACTGGGAAGCTGTCGCAGGTCAGAGTGAAGACACAATCAGGGATGATTTCTCTGAAGGACCAATCTGTGAATCAAAGAAACAGTACTATTAATATGGTAGGGAATTTAAGGATTGAAGTTACACCTGTTACTTGTATAAGGACTATTAAGTGCATTGAAAATCTTGCCTCTCCAAATCTGTTTATATAAAAATACATAGATCATGGAAAGTAGATTTTGGAATTTTAAAAAAAACTATACAGGTGTTATTTTGATATATTAGTTTGATTTTGCATTCCACTGCTGTCTAGCAAATAGGTTTTTAATGTATTTGCCTAAGCATTTGATACCTTAAAAATCATTTGTGTAATCTGATTTACCAGATATCAAAAAATCCAAAAATCCTGTAAAGCTACTGTGATCAAATCAGTAAGTATTGAATAGAGGGCCTACACAGACTTGTGAAATAGAATATCTAGAAATTGATCCCCATATAAATGAGATTGGATGTAGAACAAGAGAGGCATTTTAATTTAGTGGCAAAAGGATGGATTACTTAATATAAGGGACTGCCAAACTATTTATTCATCTGAAAGAAAAGAAAACTAGGTCTTTATCTTACACCAATCCCAAAAAGAAATCCTAGGTGGATTTAGATGGATTAAAGGTTAAAATATAAAATAAACAAAAAACAAAAAGATAGATCAATTAATAAATAAATGTCCTGTAAGGGAATCTAGGAACCATAAAATAATCTAGGAACAAGGATGATAAACTTATTTGGAAGGCAGAAAATACAGCAACTATAAGCAAAATATAAGCATAGTTATCTAAATAAAGTAAAAAAATTTTGCGTGGCAAAGATGTATATAAACAAATACAATAGATTTGAAAAAAAATTCTTGCAGCTCTAGGAGACAGGAAAAAATATCTGTAATACAGTAGAAGCTCTTAAAAATTTACAAGGAGACAAAATAGCTCATTGCAAAAACGGGTAAAGAACATGAAAATGCAATCTGCAAGATCGGAAGTCCAACAACCAACAAGCTTATGAAAAGATGATCACATTCATTTGTAGTCAAAGAAATGCAAAAAAGTAACAATTAGATTTTACTTTGTACCAATTGCACTTAAAAAAACTTTAAAAAAGTTATAACATTATAGCCTGGGGAGACACCTGGCTAAAGAAAGTATTTTTATTAACTGCAGGTATGAATGTGTATTGTTACGGCTTTCTTAAGAAAGCAGTTTAATGTTTATAACTAAAAATAAACATATCATTGACCCAGTGATCCCAATCAAAACAAAATACCAGCATATATATTTAGGTACAAGTATGTTTACTGAAGTACTATTTGTAGAGGCAAAAACTGGAAACAAGCTGATCTCCATGAATGGGGGAATAGCAAAAATAATCAAGACATATCTCTACTGTAGAGCATTATGCAACCATTAAAAGAAACCATTGCCCTGGCCAGTGTAGTTCAGTGGGTAGAAGCATTGTCTCTTCCACCAAAAACTATGAGTTTGATTCCTGATCAGGGCACATACCCAGATTGTGTGTTCGATCTCCGGTCAAGGTGTGTACAGGAGGCAACTGATTGATGTTTCTCTCTCATATTAATGTTTCTCCTCCTCTGTCGTCCTCTCCCTAAAATCAATAAAAACATACCCTCGGATGGGGATTTAAAAAAAATTAAAGCTAATACCCCCCCCAAAATAAAACAATACTAATTAGGCTGTAACTTTTCACTTGAGATTTCCCCAAGTATGGTTGAATGAGAAAAGCAAGGTACAGAAAAGAGTATATAAGTTTTAATTTTTGTAAAGCAGTGACCTAAAACACTACATATGTATGTGCTGTTTGTATGTGTGTGTGTGTGTACAGATATGTTTGTATTTGATTATATAAATTCTAAAAATATTCAGAAGACATATTCGGTATTAAGTAGAAGGAGTTGATGAGTTGGAGACAAGGGAGAGATGGAGGTACCCAAAAGTGGGAAAATACTAAATTTTAAAAAGTATATCTGAAAATTTGTGTGCCTTTATGCATAAACATTTTTTTTTATTTAAGAAAAGATAACCAGGTGATGTGAATAAAGCAATGTTTCAGAAACTAGTAGATGACTATGTTTTGGTATTACCTCTTTTTCTCATAGAGTCTGTGACCTCATGCTAATCACTTAAACTTTCTGGACTCCTAATTAACTCATTGGAAAAATAAATGATTTCAGAGGAGCTTTGTGGTGTCAAAATTTAGGATCTTACATATTTGCATGTGATGGATAATAAATAAAATAGCACACTCTTGACTCAGGCTATAAAGGGTCAAAATAAGGCAAATTTGGTTGGGCCCAGATTTTGAAAATACATAATTTTATCTTTTAGTTTAATGTTATTTGGCTGACTGATAATCATATGAAATCTAGCAGTGAATCTAACTTATCTTCTCCCATAAATCAGTTCTTCCTGCTAACTTTATTATTAATGATAATGGGTTGAATATTTTCCCATCTTTGGTTTTTACTACTTGCTGCTCATTCAGACCACGTCCTCAGTTTGTTTGTTTGTTTATTTATTTATATTTAAATTTCTCTTGTTGGAAGTGTGACAGTCCCCCCACCTCAGGTTTATAGTCCATTTCTTCCTTACTGCAATTCTCTATTGCATTCACTTGCTGTGCCCCAACCACATCTTTCCCTCTCCTTCTTTTGTATCTGTCTTTTATACCCTTCCTTCCACTCTCTGCCCTCTCCTTCCTGAAAAAGCTTATTTATTCTTCATGGTCCCACTTACACCCCACTTACTTTACTTTCTGAAGGTCTCTAAAGCCTTCAAATCATGAAGTCTCTCTCTTTATTTTTTGTGTTAATCCTCACCAGAGGATATTTTCTTCATTGATTTTTCAGAGAGAGTGGATGGGAGGAGGAGAGGGAGAGAGAGAGAGAGAGAGAGAAAGAAACATCAATGTGACAGAAACACACAGATTGGTTGCCTACCTCATCCAACCCAACAGGGGGCGGGGGATCAGAGTGGGGAATCAAACTGCAACCTAGGTATGTGCCCTTGACCAGTAATCAAACTCATGACTCATGGGTGTACAGGCCGAAGCTCTATTGAGGCATGCCGGCCAGGTCAAGTATCTCTCTCTTTTAAAAAACCTATAGCTACGTTTACCTGGGTCCTTTGTATTATGCTTTTAAAGCAGTTTGTACTGTTGTTCCTTGTATAAATGCCTTAATTATCCCAAAGTACTTTAAGCCTCAGGAGGAAACAGGACAAGCTTATTGATTATTTTCTGTTCACAGGATCTTGTGCATAAAAAGGTATTAATTGGCCCAGCTGGTGTGGCTCAGTGCTTGAGCATCAACCCATGAACCAGGAGGTCGCAGTTTGGTTCCTGGTCAGGGCACATGCCCGGGTTGCAGGCTTGATCCCCAGTAGAGGGTGTGCAGGAGGTAGCCAAACAATGATTCTCTCTCATCATTGATGTTTCTATTTCTCTCTCCCTTTCCTTTCCTCTCTCTGAAATCAATAAAAACATATTTTAAAAATGTATTTAAAAAAGATATTAATTGATCCCATTTCTTTCCAAGATGGCCACTATTCGTGTCCTACCAAACTTCAAAATAATAGGAAATTTAAATCTATGGCATGAAATAGAAATGAAAACACAATAAAAAAGAGTGCTGTGTTTGGAAGTAAGAAAACAGTTGTATGTTATTCATTAAATTTTATGTGTCTGCAATGTAGGTTTAGACAATTAAAGATAAGTACATTGGACACCTGCTACAAAACGCTGGAAGGTCTCATAAAGCCAGGAATACAGAATGCCTCCTACCTTATACCTTGGCCTAGAGCCAAGAAACCTGGTTTGCCAAGAGGACTATAAATTTTGAACAGCCCAAAGTTCAGCAACTGAAAGTTGAAAGATTTAGAAAAAGATGAGGGATTTCATAAAACTCAATCCTTGAGTTTACTTCCATTGTCCTACAGATAGCTGATTGTACTCGTTTAACTTTGAAAGGGTTTGTTTGCTTTGTTAATTGAGGTTAATTGATCCATCATTTAAGGAATAAAGATGGAAAGCCCAGATTAACACCTGTAATTAAAAATCTCTTGATTTATGAGCAGATAGGAAGTCAACACCACTGGATTACACAGACGCTGGTGTAATTTTCACAGCATCTCCATGTGCTTGGGGGAGACTGCCTATGTTCTGAGACAATCTTCCCTCCACAGCCCTCCACCTCCTCGCCCCCACCCTGAGCAGTTTCCCCTCCCTCCCCCACCAAATAGCAGAAATTATTAGTCTCCGATAGATTAGACACATAAGACATTTAAAAAGTGTAATTACTCAGTAGTTTAGAATGAGAATGTCTTAAAATCAATCAGTGTAAAAAATATCACCCAGAGTCCAAGATAAGATTTAACTTTGAAAAATTTAGAGGTTGCAAACAGGTGGCCCACATACTGACTGAATTCCTCCTGCAGGTGTCTGAGTGTGTGTGTGTGTGTGTCTGAGTGTGTGACTCTGTGTGTGTGTCTGAGTGTGTGTGTGTCTGAGTGTGTGACTGTGTGTGTCTGAGTGTGTGTGTCTGAGTGTGTGACTGTGTGTGTCTGAGTGTGTGTGTCTGAGTGTGTGACTGTGTGTGTCTGAGTGTGTGTGTCTGAGTGTGTGACTGTGTGTGTCTGAGTGTGTGTGTCTGAGTGTGTGACTGTGTGTGTCTGAGTGTGTGTGTCTGAGTGTGTGACTGTGTGTGTCTGAGTGTGTGTGTGTCTGAGTGTGTGAGTGTGTGTGTGTGTGTGTGTATGAGAGTGTTCTGCATGGTTTTAACTTCCATTCCCTTCCTTCCCTTTTCTTTTCTTTCTTTGTCTTTTTGAATTGAAGAGAACTTTCATAAAAATCCAGATTTCCCTCTTGCTTCTCTTTAAAAGCTTGGAAGGTATGCATTTCCAGAAAGTAACACCAGAAGGCGCTGATAAGGGCTGTTCCAGCGGTTCTCAACGTGTGGGTCGTGACCCCTGAAAATACATCCTGCATATCAGATATTTACATTACGATTCATAACAGTAGCAAGA